TAGATGCAAATTGACAGTTGAAACCTGATTAGCCGTCTTCTGTAAATGAGGAGAGGCCAAGGTTCTAAGCCTCCTCACTGAAGCCCAAGATGCCTTTTAAACTAAAGACTAGCTCTGACATTTGGAATGGCATAGCTAAGTGGGGAAAGAATTCTCATGGACTGAAGCTTTGGTCTGGCCTCTTGCGAGTCACCTACGTGAGTGCAAACATTGGGGTTGTGTTGCCTTAATGGATTGGGGGAATCTCATTTGAGAGGACCCCATTTGCAATGGACTGTTTGTGTGTTTGCCTTATTGAATTTGATGGGACATAGGAGGACCCCATTTGCAGCTAACTGTGTGCTCAAAACAATCTAAAGACAGAGAGGTGACCTGCTTCACAGGGAGCCCAATATGAGGGCCCAACCCTTTGGGTGATTGGCAGTTTCACTCAGTATTAGTAGATATATTTTAAGAGGTAAGGGCTTGTCCTACCTGAATGAAGAGAGCATCTAAAGTTCTAAGATGGGCTCCCACCAGGCCCCAGGACAGGGCCTTTGCTGAGTTCCTACACAGGTGTGCCAACACAGAGCAGGAACAAGCCTTGAGGATGACGGGATGATGGGTATCAGCAGTTCAGGAAAAGAAACCAAGCATGGAGAACCATCTGCTGGTGATGGACTCCAGCTCAGCAGTTCCTCCTCAAGGAATCACCATGTTTGGCTACTATGGCAGTGTCCACTGGGGAAAACCTTGCTTCCTCCCATCTGCACTTGTATATACTACACACTGTCCTGTGGTCACCTGTGAGATTCTTTGAGTGAATCCCCAGTGGGAACCTCAATGATAATGGACCCTCTTTTGTAGCAGAGGTAACCCAAAAAGTAAGCAAGTGAAAATTGCATGGGACCTACCTGAAGTTGAATAAAGTATTGCCACCTGCCCTCCTCTGGATTAGGGTAGCCCTTAGACACAGGTTTAGGTTAAGCCCCTATGAAATAGTTTTTGAGACCCTTCCTAGCATTCCAGGGTAAGTATTATGTTCCCCCTCCTCCTACTGACATGGAAAGGTAAAATTGACAGTGGGGAACATGTAACAGAGAATGGTCTGAAAAAAAGAGTAAAAAATGTTTTCTATCTCTTGAAAACCCTTACCCTTATTTTAGAGAAATAAAACCTACACCCCTGCCTCAGGCCAATGGGTAAGAGGGGCAGGGGAATGTCTGCTGTTCTTTGTGCCGTAGGAAATAGCTCAAGGGAATTGTCACAAGATCTTTTTAGCTGAAGATGGGATAGGCCAGGGCAGAAGACACAGATTATTTTAGCCAAAGGTTGGACTGTGGGATCAATCAGGAACCTTTAAAATTTCTGTGCTTCTTTTCAGAAGTCTGGGTGTTGGTATTTTTTGAGACAGGAGTCTGCCAGACTCCTCATTGTCAGCAAATTAATAACTTCTTTTTCCTTTGCCTCAAAAATAATAATAATGATAAATTAAATAAAATCATTGCTACATGTATAGGGGTTGTGATTCTACCTTCCTTTAAAAATTATTTTTTCAAGACCAACCTGAGCAAGAGGGAGACCTTGTCTCTAAAAAATAGCTGGGTGTTGTGGTGGTGCCTGTATTCCCAGCTACTAGGGAGGCTGAGGCAAGAGAATCACTCTGAGCCTAAGAGTTTGAGATTGCTATGAGCTTTGATGCCCCAGCACTCTACTGAAGGTGACAAAGTGAGACTCTGTCAGAATAGAATAGAGATAATTTTTTAAAGCATTCTACCAAATGCTAATCCTAATTAATGAGAAAAGATCTATAATAGTCTAGGTAAATATAGTATTGAAAAAAATCTTAAAACTTTGATGTTACCTATGAGGGAGCATGACTTAGATTATAGGCAGTCCCTGAGTTACAAATATCCAACTTATGTACAACTTGCACTTACAAATAAAGCCTGTTAAAGTAAGTTTCTAAGTTACAAACATCCAACTGACATACAACTCACACTAACGAATGGAGGCAATTACAGGTAATAGGTAAATATACCCATTCCAACTTACATATAAATTTATCATAAGAAGAAAGCTACAGAACCTATCTCATTTGTAACTTGGGGACTACGGGTATGGATTTAGCTGGAGTTGGGTACAATGGCTTGGAAGTAGTCCTAGCTACTTGGGAGGCTGAAGTAGGAGAATCACTTAAGCCCAAGAGTTCAGAGTTGCAGTGAGCTATGATTGTGCCACTATACTCCAGCCTGCAGGCAACAGAGTTGAGACTCCATCTCTTGGGAAAAAAAAATTAAGATTCAACTTTTTTATTTAAATAAGAACTCATGGCTAATTAAAGTTCTGTGCTTTCTTAAAGCACACTTATCAATATTTTAAAATTTAAAGTTCTTAAGTGTCTTATTCACTGCTTCTTGAAACTTCAGCTTATATTTCCAATTATAATGCTATAATTTTATTCATAGTTGAATGAAAGAATTTGGAACTATTATCTTAACTACAAGCTATCATGTATGGAGAGCAAGAAGCTGCCTTACACCAGGCTGCCTGACTAGCTGAGACCAGGGGCTTTGGGGCAGGTGAGCGGGTTCTTGCTAGTACGTTGAGGTCAGGTGAGTCTTAGCATCAAAAAGGCTGCCCAGGACGCTTCAGAAACTCAATTCTTAGGGAAAATCTATAATTTCTGGGGAACAACTTAAAAGAACAAGTGGTTAATGGAGAAGGTTATAAAAAAATAGAGGTTATTGAAATCGATTCAGACAGCCAGTTATAGAAATTTTGTAATTTATTTGCACAGTCATGAGGAGCAAAGAAATAAGGTGCTTATAAACTTGATGTTGGGAATTCGATTTTCTAGGTTTAAATCCAGGCTCCACAATTTACTGGCTGAGACATTAAGTAAATCTGTACTTACCTCTTTGGGTTTTTATAGTTACTTCCTATGTAAAGCAGAAATAGTAATAAAATGCATACCTCATAGGATTATTGTGAAGGTTAAGTGAGATAATACCTTTTAAAAACCACTTAAATGGGACTGGTAAATAGTAAGGATAAGGCTTGTAAACTGTGTGCAAAATAAGTCAATAGAAGTGTCAGGGTGGTGGTCTGTTCTTGGTTCTTGGTGTGCTCTTGGCCAAAGAATGACCAGACACACCAAAGTGTCAGGTCAGGTCCAGCCTGTTTATAGACTGTATTCCTGGTTCTTTGGCTCCTTGCTTGGCAAAATCACAAGCAGGGCCAGTGTGACATAGTGACCATAGGCAGGAGTCAGTTTCACAGGAGAAGCTTTTTATTATAGAATGAACCAGGTCTGTCTCCACAGCAGAGAAAGGCATAGTAACTGACTGACTGACAGACTGTCAGGGAATTTTGGGATTGTTTGCTTTTATTGGCCTGGTCTGAAGGGAGAGCTTTTGGGAGAAGTGGGATGTTACCAAACGATAAACAGGTGTTCTCAAGGCTGCATGTTTGAAAGTCTACCTGGAGGAGTGAACCACAAAGTAGATTTAAACTAATGACATGATTATTAGCCTTTGGTTATTCTAGGTCACTTTCCAAACTCTATTATGGCTCTGCTGGGGAAGTCCCAGATTGATAAGACGTTCCCTCCCTCCTCCAGTTGCTTCGAATACAATTAAGTGTGGGATGGCATCAAGATCAGTCCCTGCTCTTATCCTTCTTCCCAGGTGGGGCAGTTCTCAAGGCAGCACCAAGACTAGATGTGTTTGTCTCCAGAAGAGCCAGAGGTCCTAGCTATCTACTTACAGAAGGATAGTTCATAGGATATTGCAAATGGGAAACAATCTGAAAGTCTACTAATAGTAGAATAGCTGCATTTACTGTAAGCTATCCATGCTATGGAATACAATATAGAGTTTGTAAAAATTAAGCGGATCTAACTGTGCTAATATAGAACCATTTCTCTACATCAGAATTGCAAGTTGCAGGCCAGTGATACTATATGTAGTATGATTATAATGGTGCAAGGGAAAAAAATTGCTAAGTACCCATTTAAAACACCCAAACTTATATTTGAACATGTGCGTACATATAGCAATAGAAAAATGCGTACATAGGCGATTCTTTTACAAAATATATAAACATAAGAAAATGTATAGATAGGCAATTTTTTAAACAATGTTTACCTTTGGGTAGGAAAGTAGTGAGGGAATGTTCTAAATGTCTGATCTGTTTATCTTCCATATTCTATTTATGTATGCTAAGAAAATAGCAAGGAAATCTAAGTATTAGTTTTTAGAAATGTTTACTTTCAAATATAACACATGTAGGTAGTATTTTAGTTTGATGATTATCTTGTTCATTATTCTAGCATGTAGTTTTTGTTACTTGTCCTTAAAGTTAATAATGAACTTAATGAACCTCTAAGTGATGATAAATGCACACATTTCAGCTTACTTCTAGATAGGTAGCCAAGAAGTAATATGATATTTTCTCACATTTCTGGCAACTTAATTAAAATTTTAAATGTAACATTTACTAACTACTACCATGGGTTAAAGTTTTTATGTATAGTATATGTCTGATATATAGGTAAACAGCTTGTGGATAAAATTTATGCTAAATTATCATTTTATTCTTCACAACACAGTAGTTTTCTCAGTAAATAGTTCTTAGATAAATAATACTTTTGATTTTTGTATTACTATGTACAAAGAGAACTGAGCTTAAGAATCATTCTCTGAGCAGACTACCTATAAGCGTTGTACGTATATACATTTCTAAACAGGCTGCGTGTAAGAGTCTTGTAATTATCAGTATCATCTATCATTTGAGTATTTCAATTAAAAATATATACATAGTCCTTTAGGAAACAGTTGTTTTATTTATGATTATATCAAAAAGGTTTCCTCATAGAAATTTCACAAAGACTCATATGTACAAGAGTTAAAATTGTTTTCCTTAAATCTAACTGTGAGAATAAAAGGAAAATATTTTAGAGCACAAAAAACTATTATCATTATTATTGTTGTTTTCTTTGCTTTTTGCATTTTTTTCAGACATGGGATGTAGCTTTATCACGGACTGCTAGAGCATGGGGGAAAAAATGTGTGTATGAGCGTAATACTCACTTAGAAGACGTACAAATGGCCCATCCTAAATTTTACGGGATTGGTGAAAATATGTGGCTTGGTCCTGAAAATGAATTTACTGCAAGTATCGCTATCAGAAGTTGGTTTGAAGAGAGGAAAATGTATAATTTTCAAAATGACAGTTGCTCTAAAAACTGTTCTCATTATATTCAGGTATCTAATTTTTATATTGTTATTAATTCAATAGACTCCTTAATTGTTTTACTGCCTAGTTTCATTCTGTCTCAAGTTTACAAATAAGCTTAAGTGGTAAAAGTATTACTTCTAATAAAATCACAATTCTAACCAGTCCTAGATCTTAAAATGTCTGTAATTCTGTTATGTGAACAATTAAAACATTTCTTTAAATATAATCTTGATACCCAAACATGAAAGGTCATTTTCAAAAATAATGCACACTAGGGAAAAAATTGGCAAACAATAAATAAAAATTATTTACAAATTATTGACTGTAAACATAAGTAAAAGACTTGTTATTTTTTAAACAGATCAGTACACATATAACTATATAGCTCAGGCGTCCTCAAACTATGGCCCGCAGGCCACATCATGCGGCCTGCCTAGAACATTTATCCGGCCTGCCGGGTGTTTTTGCCACTGCTGCCTGTCCTGCTTAGCAGCCGACCTTCCACTGGTCTGAGGGACAGTGAACTGCCGCCCTGTTTAAAAAGTTTGAGCACCTTTGATACAGCTGATAGGTTAAAATATTTGAAATTCAAATTAATAGTATAATTTCTTTGCCTTTTGTCCAACAATCCACCCTCACACTTAATATTCCAGGAATGCTGAACCACTTTTCCTTTCCTGGATGATACTTTAATTATTTTGCACATTACATTGTTTAATAATTACCTATTTATATATCTGATCCTACACTAACGTAGGGACCTTGTTTTCTCTTTCGTATATTCTCAACACAACATGACATTATTCATATCTTTAATAAATATGTATATAAGGAATTATTGTATGAACTCCCAAGTTTATTTAAAAGATGATTAATTTGATCAATAGACCTTGATCTCATGTTTTATATAGAACTTAAAAGTTTGGAATTTGTTCATGTTTAACTCAAGTATTTCTGTTCCATCTAATCATGCTTCAGAAATTTTTGATCACTTTCCTTTTTTCATCATTTCTTTTTCTTATAAAAAGTTACAGTGATCCTCCATTGTCTTAACTCATATCAAAGTCAGCCTCCTTAGCATGACTTTGATAACCTCAGTAACTACCCAAATCTACTGCCTGACACACTACTCTGTATTTTTTACTCTTTAAATTTGGTCTCCTAGACATTTTTGCCTCCTGCATTTAATCTGCTCAAGTCTACTCTTGCAGACATTCTACTTTCTGTTTTTATAATGTGTCACTCTATTTCATTAAGAATCACACCTTGAAAATCACTCAGGCTTAAAAAGTAAACAGGAATGGTTCCTCTCTCTTCCACAGAGATTAACAAAACACTACTATTTTTTGTTCACTTGGAAATATTAAAAATATTAAAGTCATAACAAAGAATCTCTGGACTGTATCTCATTATTACCATCTTTTTCACTCCAATTCAAGACCTGCTTTTCCATTCATGAGAGACAGCTCTTTTTTTTTTTTTACTCATCCTTTTCTTTTTAATGATAAACTAAGACTTTGTTTTACCTTAAAATTGAATTTTCTTAAAGCAAAGGAGAAATGTCATTATGCAGGTCACTGCATAGTTTTGACAGTCTGTGGTATGGTCCATTATTTCATTTCTAATAAACACAGTTGACAGTACCCTCTGTATTCACCTGTGCAACTTTCAACTTGCTGGGTTTATCAGTGTTGGCTTTATTTGTTTCTTTCCAAATTTTGCATTTCTTGATTTTTGTGTATCTCAAAACTTTTTGTAATGACCCACATAGCATGCAGTCATACTCTCTACTCCTATATCTCTTTTGGTTCTCTTCTGCAATTATATTGTTCCTCTTCTTCTCTCATCTATTTGTAACTTTCATTTTTTTTAACCATTTTCTTTCTTTCTTTCTTTTTTTTTTGTCGACTGTATTTTATAAAACCCTTTTCTCTTCTCTTTCCTGTCTTCCTCCCTGCCAGTGACCTGAAACTCTCAAATTCAACCAGAGGTTGAATTGGTTCATCAGGTGTGACATCCTTTGGCTCTGAAGCATTATGCTGGATCAGTGTTCTCAAATTATTTTTCCTAACATATAGTGTTGGTAGGACCTATTAAAAAGTTTCTCTAAATGTAATGTTGGAAAAGCTATCCTAAGTCCATGATAACTCTCTACATGAAAATAGTTTATGTTCTTCAAGTTGCTTGATAAAAGGTTCTGCGTGAATGAAATATATTATTTATAATATGAGAGAGCAAATGTTTAGAATTAAATTTTCTGCTTTCTTTGAAAATTTTATTTTAGCTTGTTTGGGACCGCTCTTACAAAGTCGGTTGTGCTGTTACTCCATGTTCAAGAATTGGACGTGTTAGACATGCAGCACTTTTCATATGCAATTATGCACCAGGGTAAGTTATTGTAAATTAATAAAAGAATATAAAAATAAATTGGGACTACTTTACAGTTAAATGTTCCTAAATTTTAATATATTCTTCTAAGTATTTTTATGAACTAAAAAATTATTAGAGTGGAAAGCTCACTAGGTGCTCATGGCATTGGGGAGGAAGATTTCTTTTGATCAAAGATTAGGATATAAAAGTATAAAATTTATTTTATCTTCTTCCAAGGAAAGAGGGAGTGAGAGAGTGAAAGAGAGTGGGGAAAGAGAGGAAGAAAAGAAAGCAGGGAGATGATGGCATGGCATCTCAAAGAAAGAGAAGAGAAATACCAGCAGTGAGGTCAAGTGGCTTGCCACCTTTATGGGCACAAAGAAAAAGAAAAAGTAGTGATTAGAGCCACATAAACAGGTTGCTGTGAAACTGCTGCACATGCTCCTTCTGTCTGCTTATCAGCTGGATGATAAGCACCTGCCCTGCCTTTGAAAAAACACTTAACACAGGTGTTTTTGAAGATTGGTGATGCTGCCTTCCAGATGTGATTTTTAGGCAGCGTCTGAGGCTGGATGCTAGCACCCTATTGTTCTTATAGGAACTCCTTGAGGCTACAGAAACAGATTCTCAAAGGTAGTGAGCTGGTGCATGTAAAAGAAAAAAAAAGATTTACATTTCTTTTCTATCTGCTCTTTACAGAAACTGTGAAAACAGTATCCCTACAGGGAGCCTGGATGCTAGAGAGAAAGAGAGAGCAGAGAGAGAGCTCATGGGATTGATTTTAGCCATTACTGAAAAACTATGAGTTAATAATTTTTCTGTCCTTCCACTATTGAGACTGAACATCCTTTCAAAAATAATTAAATATAAGATATTAACTAGAGAATTTCCATTGAAGGAACTCAGGAAATTTTATCCCAAAATATGATTCCTTGGTATAAAGTGTATTTTGAATTAAGGCCCTTAGAGAGCAACAGGTCCTTGGAAGGGGCTTTCCTTTTATGCGCATAACCAGATGCATCAAAAGAATAATAGACTTCCCACTCATCATCTTTAATCATTAGAATAATGAAAATCAAAACCTCTTTGAGATATCATCTAACTCCAATAAGAGATATCACCTAACTCCAGTAAGATTAGCCTGTATCACT